TACTTTTATTTCAAACTGCCTTAAAAAGGTGTGTTAGTTAAAAACCATCTATGAAGCAAAACATTTTAAGGATTACAGTTTAGAAAAAAGATTTACCACTTATAACTGGACCTGATTTTATAACTTAAACGATGAAAACCAGAGCAATTTGAGCCCCATTTTTATCTGCATACTAAACCTGACAATGCTATGTCTTGCCTTCCTTAGTTTTGGTTTTAAAATGGACATTATGTTCAGTATTTGCAGCTTGACATTCTGCCGTCTGACTGTAAAGGGGACAGTTTTGTGAAGCGCTCTTAATGTTGTGCATTTGTTAAGCCCCCAACACACGCACTTCCTCTCTCCTCCAACAATACGGAGGCCATCATGGTACAAAATGGCTTTCCTATCTTGTCAAGTGATTATGAGGTTTACTTTCATTAGATCGCAGAAACAAATCCATAAATTCCTCACTAATAATGACTTAAGTACATTGACACATATAAAAATTAGAAGATGAGAAAGTATAATTAATTGACCACTCTTTTAGGAAAGGAGGCTGCAGAGAAAAGCTTTTTTATATCTAAATGGAAGAGAGAGAAAATAATTTTGACAAAGGATGACACTGAGAATGCTCTTAACAGGTTTGTGAGTGGCTCTTAAAAATGCTGTTTTAATTTAGCCCTAGAGGACTGTTTCGTATCCTACCTCTAGCAGAGAGACGGACCAGCTGAAGCCTTCTCCTATCCTGCTCCATCAATCACTCCAGCCACAGGCTCCTCTGATCCTCAGTGGTCCTCATGTATCTGTCCCTCTAGCCTCGGCCCGCCATCGTCTCTTCCTGTTCTGTCATTCTGGCGGACTCCTTCGATGTCACATCGTTCTCCTCAAGATAAGCCACAGCCACTACACCCTACCTACGGACCTCCCTCCACCCGGTAGAATAATTCGATCTTCCTCTGCACGATCCTCTGCTGTCAGCCTCTTGCTTGCCTGGGCCAGCTGTAACCCATTCCCGGCCATCAGCCCTGCTTCCTGGCAGGCCTCTCCGAGCTACTGTTGTGCTCTTCAGCTCGCTTCCTGAGCTACCAATGGCAAGCTGCTGCCTCTGCCGCTGTGGTTCCTAAGCTTCAGAGGGTGCCATAGCTGGCAGCCTCGTCCCTGTTATGGAGCTCTTTCAGTCGCTGTTCTCACATAGATTCACGACTGTTCCTGCCTGAGCTCACTATCGTTGTCTCACCTTACCACTGCTGTCCAGGTGATTCGTCCCCCTGTTTTGGGCACTATGACCAAAACAAACATGGATCAAGAGCAAGAGGAAGATGCAAGTCCACTCAGAAAAAAACAAATCAAAAAAACGCAACAACCGCCAACCAGCACTTNGTCCCCCTGTTTTGGGCACTATGACCAAAACAAACATGGATCAAGAGCAAGAGGAAGATGCAAGTCCACTCAGAAAAAAACAAATCAAAAAAACGCAACAACCGCCAACCAGCACTTGGAATTGTTTGCCTCCATGATACCCGGGCGGTTGCCAGTTGTGGCTTGTGTAAGTCTAGATTACATGGATAGTTTTATAAATAATATTTTATTAGTCTCTGTAGGATTGTATACAGGCCTAACTTGCCACAGTCCCATTTGGGTCGTAATGACTGTCTCTATAGTTACTAGTTTGTCAGCTCTGCTCTGCCGTAGTGCAAAAGATGCCTGCCTCCACAAATGGGAACCGACTGTTATGTAATTATAAATAGCAATTTCTAAGGCAAGGCAATCATCAAGATTGAGACTTTCAGCTCATATGTGATAATAAATAAGATATATATGAATAATATATTGCATTTATGTCAGTAAATGCCTGAAATTATTACAGACTGTACATTTAAAGCATTTGGCTATGCAGTCTTAAGTGAAGCTGGAATAGGAAAAAAGTTGCATTTAGAAAATAATCCCAATCATTCAATTACAATGGCTTTTAAGTGAGATCCTGAACCAGACAGCAAATCAATATTTAATTTTGTTAGGAGCACCTCCTAATCAGTCAAAAATATTCACAGTAACCAAAACTACTACGAAAGAAAGCAGTTTAATAAGCAAATGCTTTACCATTTCTTTAATGTCTTAAATGTCCACCAATACAAAATACATTGTGAGGTAAATGTTTCACATACATTTAATTTTATTCTTTCACCATTGGCATGAATATAATACAATATGAAGGATTGTTTACGCATGAATGCAGTCAGCCTCCACTGCCCCTTCCATGCTTTACATAACAGAGAAGTGTAAAGAAACATATTGATTTGAGCCTTTCCAAGAATACATTCAGACAGAACCACTTTGGTCCACGAAGGGGGTTAATGACCCAAACCTATGCTCTAAGTCAGATTTAATTAAAATACACATTTTACCTTCCACTTAAATTAGCGATAGGCTCCTGTTTTACCAAAACCAGTCATTACTCATTCCTTTTGCGTATGCAAGCATTCCCCTCCACTTCTGCAGCAACGCTGTTAGCACTGGCCTTCCAGCTCAATTATTGGGTGTCTACTTGCTCTGTGGCAACCCTCAGCAGATGCTGATGGAAAATAGCTTTTGCCTGCAATTTTGTTTCTACCCACTCAACAGCAGAAACTGACTGGGAGCAGAACAATTATCTGACACAACGAAAATGTTGCTGCAGTGCTCGAATTTGCTGTGAGGTCCATGAGGACTTTTAAACAAAAACTTCACTTTATGCAGTATATTGGCATGAGATCTGGGAATGTCCTGTACTTTGAGTCTAAATGCCAGACTGGGGCTTAATTATAGCAGCCTTTAACCTCTGAGCCCCTCTGTTTTTCATCAACCAAATAGCCTTTTGGCTTCAGAGCGTAATCCTGTTTAGCATAATACATCCACAAATCTGGAATAATAAAGTCAAAAGTGTATACCCTGTATAAACACTTGTTTACAAGAATACTAAATCATCTGAATAAGCACCTAAATAAATGTATATAACATTTAGCAATTATAAATTAACACTGTGCAAATAGTCAAGTCATACAAGCTCTGGCATATTTTTTTTAGTAACTGAAAGTTTAATTAACACTCCGCAGGTGGCAAATCCTTCATTTTACAAGCAATTGTACTGCTAACATTATCATCTGAAAGCTAATTAAAGAAGATTGGTTTCACTTTTAGGCTACTGTTGTTCAGAATGGATGTCGGGTAAACACTGTCTATAAAAAGATGGTGCTTACAGTCTGACCTACATTTATTGTCCATATATATATATATATATATATAGGCATACTTGTTACTTATACTTAATTAGGCATACCTATTTTTGATGCTGCAATATAAAAAATAAAATACTTTTAAGCATTTAAATTCATTTTTACTCTTATACCCTTTTACAAAATATTGGAGTACGGATGAAGAAAAAACTAGCCAAAATATTGTGTTGAAGTCATGCATCTGATCTCACTCTTGATATTTATATTTGTGAATAGGAGAAGAAAAAGACTATTCTTCTGTGTTACTTCTCAATAATGTGATACTGTTTTTATGATCTGCTTTCATAAATTCCAGCAAAATACATTAACGTTTGTTCGCAATGTAACATGAAATTGCGGGCTAATTACTTTTTACAACTGTGACCGATATAAAACCGTTACACTTAGCAAAAGCAACGCAAGAAAGTCCATCCATCCATCCATCCATCCATCCATCCATCCATCCATCCATCCATCCATCCATCCATCCATCCATCCATCCGTCCATCTTATACAACTTGTCCTTCAGTGTCACAGGCACAACAAAATCAAACAGGTTGTATATACTTTGATTTCCTTTGTGTGTGTATATATATATATATATATATATATATATATATATATATATATATATATATATATATATATATATATATATATATATATATACTATTGAAAACAATTTTGTGGCTAACTTCAGTCACCAGAATTTTGTTTCTCTCACTCGCTCCATGTGTAATGTTTCATTAATATCAGTATGAAGATGGCATTATGTACATACTAGAGTAGAGCATATAGAGTACACAAGCATTCCCATTTGCTCTACTTCTTCTGTCATTTGGTCTTGTTTTTTGTGTGCACAGTCCAATGTTCAGTTTGTAGTACCACGAAACACACATTAGCCAAACAGATAACACCGAAGCAGAGGCTCACACCAACTCTGTGTGTTTTCATTTAAAGTTACTTGTTATTTTCTTGCTACTGTTGGTACATCTGTTCAACAGGCAGCAGCTTCATATATTAAAATGACAAACATCAATAATAATCCATTCACAAGACCCACAGCACACCGAGCATTCGGATTTGGACGTATGCCATACTGCTGTCATATTTCAGGGCTTAGAGCTGCTCTGTCTCCTGGTGACACTGATGACTGACGACTGCTTCCACAAGTGAATCAGTCGGCATAACTTCACAGCCAACTAGAGCTTTCAGTCAGAGCTCCATCAGAGCTCAAAGGCGTCTATCTTCCTTTCCAAAACGCACTCTCCTGTTTCTTTCAAAGGAGGCTCTCTACTTTCCCTTTCCGATCTTTCGTGTATCTTATCCGACAGGCTGATATCCTCCACAAGGGTGGAGTTGCTGGTTCCTTCGTTCTGTTGGGAGCTACAGTTGTCCATCTCCTTGCCATGGACCGTACCATTGTGGCAGCGAGCCACAAGCCATGTTTGCTCTTCAGTGCTGCAGACCGGGCCAGAAGATTTGGCGATGTCCGGGAGTTGGGGAAGCCGAGGGATGTGGTTCAGCAGACTGCCCGTCTTTGTATTGTTGGTATTGCTGTAGGTGTGGCGATATTCCTCCTCAATGTTCCTCCCTAGTTTCCAGCGCTTCCACTTCTTTAGGATCTCAGACTGCACCTGCGAGAGCACAAAAGACATTAGAAATGTGACAATGTAAAAATCTGAGCCTGAAACTAGTAAATGTTGCTCAGGATACTCACTTCTTTGTTGACAAAACAGTACAAAATAGCAACAAGGAGACCCTGAGAAGACATCATATACAATGTTAGACTTAGAGCATCTGTCTAAATGCAATAACACTTTCGAGACCACAGGAATATCTGTTTTCAGCTCTTTCATTCAAATAAATAAAATCATTGGAAACCATATGGGCAGTTGCCCAGCATTCATAAAGATGTGTCTAAGATTTACCACCCATATACATGTGCATTAGAGCATTGTATTTTTTACACAATCAGAATGAGGATGACATGTCTATTGGTCTAGGTAGGTATCTCACCCAGGGTGCTCTTTTTATAAGTACCACTTTGACCAAAACTTACAGTTGAGTCTCAAAATAATTATTTTCCTCTGGCTTATTTAGATTAAATTTGTCAAAAATATGTGCAGTTTAATTTAAGCTTTAAATACAACTTGAAACCCATTGTTGCAAATATACAAAAAAAAAAAAACATTTTCTATTATATACAAAGCAAAGATAGCATGTGCCTACCTCCGGTTATTACACATCAGCGTGAACTTAAGATCCTTTGGCATGTTCCTATTCTGTTACAACAGGTAATGGTGTATGTTGTTGTTGACGGTTAAAAATATTGTCACAAATTTTTTATATACTGATATTTTAATGTATTTCTAAAATGAATGGAAGGTTTAAAATAACAAAATGGGAACTACTTAAAGGCAAATAATTGTCAAGGGGTTGAATTAGTTTTCTGAGAAAAAAACACGATAATTTTCAACATAATCAATGGAACAAATCTGTATTTGCATTACATGCGATGTTAAAAATTAATATTTAATTATATTAGCGCTTAAATTTACTCCTTTGTATCCTGTTTCAGTTCTTTTCTCTTATTCTGTCTTTATTTTCTCCTGCAGTGCAATCTGATAAGAATGTGTGTGACAAATCTTCTCTTTGTATATAATATCACAGAAAAAGCAACAGTGTGAATAGGGATTCGTGTCACAACTAGGAGGGACATGGCTACGGGGACCTGATTGGAGGAGACACGTTGTGAGCTGAGGTTATGATTTATGAATGCAGGGAAAAGAAATAAACAAGAAACAAAGAGAACAGAGATGGAACAGATATGAAAAACCATTTTTGAAGTAAGTTATTGTATATCAGGATAGTCATTCTTAGTAAAAATACAAGCGTGTACATTTGAGGGACATCTGTGTTTTAAAAAGTAATAGGACCTACTTCTCTTTTTTTTTTCTCAGCAGAACCTTTTACTGCACCACAATCTTGCACAATTTGATGGTTTATTTTTAGGCAGATTTACCGGTAAGTGTTTTTATGCAGTGCCTGCTGAACCATGACATTATGCATGACTTTCTATATAGAACAGCAGTTTATCTTTTTTAAAGCTCTTTATTATTACTGTTATGTCACCATAGATAATTTAATTTATAAATGCAAAACTAGGTTCCTATACATGTTAGCTCCTAACACCTTGCTCCAACCTGGAAGGAGGAGAAGAAGAGGTCCATGAAGAGCTTAGTGATATGTAAATGTGGCGTGTCGTTGGTGGTCTCATCAGGCAGGAAGATAAAGAACATCTGATGGATCCCCAGAAGTGGGATCAATGTTAGAGTTGACTTTGCCAACCTGAGATGTAAAAAAATGAAAATAAAAAACATAAACTAAATTGCAAATAAGAAACACAAATGAAAAAGATGAATTTCACATTAAAACTCACCTGACTTTATAGTCGGTGTATCTCATTTGGTGAGCTTGAAGCTTTGAAACCAGGATTTTGATGATATGTATAAAGATAATGAAGTTTATCTGGAAAAAAGACAGAAAGATTTTCGTTACAGCTTAAAAATTGTTTTATTACTGTTGTTGTAAAAGAACTTTCAAGAGTGTCTGCTGCTACTTTCAGTGTTTTGCAACTCAGAAATGCTGTTTCAATTGCATGCCTTTTTACATGCGCCATTTTTTTGTTTATTTCCAACAGTTTTAAACTAAACCCGTGAAAGTTTTTTTTAACATTCAAATCAATCTGATGGTGACCAGAAATAATCAAACTTGCTTTGCTGGCAATTAACTAAATAGTTTGTTGATTTCTTGTTGAGGGATTCCGACTCAAAACATCCAGTCAAGTAAATCTATAGACTTACTGTTTAAAAAAACAACATAGTTTCACAATGCTTACTGGAGCATAAAGTGATTGACTGTGCAGACTTTAAATTCCCTTCCCCACAGATAAGGACCCTGCTTGCTAAGAAAAGCCAGATTCTTTAGTCTTTGAGATTCAAGACGTTCCTAAGGTTGTCATTCACTCTTCTATTGGGCAAGGATTAATTCTAAATGTAATCTAAATGATGGAGTTAAAATATTTTAATGAAAGCAACGTAAGAAAGTCTGGGCTTCCATTGAAGATAACATCTGTGGATGATTCCAGAAAGCCTTTGGTAAGCAAAGAAAGCTATTACACAACACCCAACCAAGGGAAAAGTTCTGCAACACGAATTGTTATCCAAGTCAAACAGAGAGGGAATACTTTACAAAAGCAGTTGCTTATGATTCCGTTAAAGATTTCAAAACAAAGATAAGGATTAGGATAACAAGACTCCAGTTAAAAAACTTTTTTTGAACTCAACTGTCTATGAGAAGGAGTGAAAAAAAATCAATAATCTGATTCACGTTAAAGCGAAGCTGAGCTGGAAGAAATTAAATCTTCCTCCCTCTGCTTGCTCCATCATGCTGCCACACATGTAGGACCTTGGGGAGGGGGTTATTACTGGAGGCTCCCACCTTCTGATGATGTCCCTCACCCCAATTTTATTCTGCATTTTAGACACTTTCATTCAGAACATTTTCACAAGACACATCTATGTAGGCCATTGTTTGGGTGGGTGAGGGGTAAAGACACCTGGGGTGGGCTTATTGTGTGGACCTCACCTCGGATGGCTCCCTCCAGCCCCTCTCGCATTTAGACATTCTGGGTTCTGACTGGTTCATTGGGGGGGTGCGCTGGCACAAGCTACCTTCCGCTGGGGTGGGGGGGGTTGGGGGGTGGTGGCGGGTCGGGGGTTTTGGGGGTGGGGGGGTGTTTGGTGGGGGGTCGTGTGCCGGGCATCCCCTTTGGTACTCCCAGTTTTAAATACACTTGAGAAAAACATGCAACAACACAGAATTTGAGCGGGAGCAGGGAGGATCGAGGTCTTTCTCACACCCCCGTTCTCCGGTTGCTGTCTGGAGTCTGGGGCCTGGAGGAAGAGCGGGGCATCTAGTCTGGAGTCCTGACGGTGGTTGTTGCGGGGCCTGTGTGGCTTGCCGGACTGGGGCTGACACTCCTGCACTCCCCAAAAAGGGGTGGGGGGAAGGGTCCCATTCCCCCCGTCCTGCCCCGGCGGGGCGCCCCTGGGCCCTCGGGTCCCTGTGGCCCATGGCCGGTTCCACTTCAGGGTGGCTGGCTGCCAGCGGAGCCTGGGGGCTTCGGCATTGCGGTGGCTGGGGGATTTACTCCGGGCTGTCTTTCCTTTTCCCTTTGTGGGGGGGCAGATTTCCTGTGTTGGGCCCACTTGGATGTCTTTCCTGTGGGGCTCCCTTTAAGCATGTGGGGTTTTGGGTCCCCTGGCGCTTGCCTCCGTGCTCTGGGGGTGGGGGGGGTGGGGGGCGGTCGATTCTTTGGTTCTTCACAACCACTATTGAGCGTCTTTCCTTTGGACAAACTTTACATGCACAAGTGCACTCTCACAAAAAACTACAAGTACTTGTCTCCCTTTTATCTCCTCTTTCTTTCATCTTTTCTCATTTTTCTTGTTTTTGTTTTCCTTTCATGTTCTACTTTCCCATTGCAGTGTCCATATAATCTGAAATACTTTATGCATGAGTTATAATAAAGCTATTTTTATGCATAAATCAAGCAGAACACTGGCAAAAGCTGTATTGCTCCACTTGTGAAAGTAAAATCTGTTGGGCTCATTTTGGCATCAAGACAAATAATATTGCCACATTGCCAGACAGGACACTGATGGGGAAAAGAAATACACAAGAAGAAATACAATCTTAATAGATAGACAAAGGGCAAATGATTGTCAAAGGATTGGCAAAGGATTGTCAGCCACATAGTTTATTAAGTAGCGAAAGCAGGAAGAGCCATGCTGCTGAGGGCGAACCATCAGTATAGAGGGAGAGAAGCGCAGACTCTGGGCTACGCGTGTGAAAAGACACATTTCTGCACAAGCACAGATGGGAGAATAGTTTGTGTTCGGATTGAGTTCAGCATGCATTACTGGTGTTCTGTCAGATCCCTGGATCATTCTGGATTATTTCCAGATTATTTTCTCACCGTTGCTGCCATAATCTATCTGTGGTCATGCAGAGTGAGCACCGCTGCACGGCAGGTGAGCCGCGTGATCAAACAGGATGCAGCACCATGGCTGATACTGATTAGCAAATTACAGCGCAATGATGCATTTTAAATGTCTGACCGACTACCCTCTAATTTTTATTTAGTCTCGTCTCGTTGACTAAAACTCACACCCATAACTCTCAAGTTTTCGTCAACAAAGATCCATATTTAGCTTGTCTGTTTTCACTATCGTTATATGAAAAAAGGAGCGTCAACAATAATCGTCACTGTTGACGATAAAAACACTGCTTGAGAAAAAAATCCATTGAAAGGTATGGTGTGTATTTTTAATTACCCTCAGAAGCAAAACTTTTAGAACCACCTTTTGCCAAATATAAAGCTGCAAGTATTGTTAGTTTAAACCTGACAGTTTGTGGATTTAGAGATTTAAAAAAAAAAAGATTATTTTTCTTAAGAAAAAGCTTGTGGAGGAATCTTCAAGACCTATCACACCTTTTCTGCCCAAAATAGGTCTGGTTTCTTACTGGGCCATATAACACCTGCAAATGCTTCATTTAAATTTTTCATTATAGTTCTGTATGTTTTAAATTGCTGTCTTTCAAAGTGTTCATAGCCTTGGATATGCTTTTAATTATCATTGTTTGCCTTGTATTTACTTTATCCTTCAATCACTGTAACCCACTTCTCTATCAGAGAAAGGCCTCCCACACCATTATGCTGACACCATCATGCTGCATTGTGTGTATAGCATATCCACAGTAATGTGTATTAGTTTTCACCACTAATAGTATTTTGCAGGTTTGTCAAAACGCTTTATTTTGAAAGTACCTTTATCCACATGTGCTCCATGTGCTGTTAGTGGAACTTCTTACAGTAAAGGTCGTCTTGCTGATAGCCCTCCAGAAAGGACATAGTTGATGAGTGCAAGACTGTCCTGTCGACAGATTCTCCTACCAGTACTGTGAATATCTGGAGCTTCCATGAGTAATGTTTTCCTGGCCAGGCTATTTAGTTTAGATTGCCTTTGTAGCATTCTTCATCCAGTTTAAGATGATGGACTAAATATTACCTTCAAAGATTTTTAAAGGCTGAGATATTAATGCAACCAAGCTTTAAAGTTGTAAAGGCTACTGATAATCTGTTGGCTGTAACTGATGGTCGCCAGTGAAATCCCAACAACACACACAAATGTTCGGTTGTTATATCAAAGGGAAAAAAGTCATGCAGCAAAAATACTTTGGAAAGAAATGTTTTAAATGATTTACCAGAGAAAAAAAAAGGAAATAAAATCTTCACAATACTGGAAGAAATGATCACAGAGGCATTCAAACGCAACAAATCTGACTGGAAGTTTCTTTAAATATAAGAGGAAAAAGTCCAAAGATAAGAACTTCTGAAAATAAAATAATGGAGCAGAACAGATTAGAATAACTGATTAAGATCTAAGCCTGCGGCATTGCACTGCAGAAATCTAAAACCCACAGATAAAAACAAAAACAAAAGAAATTTCAATAAATTGAGTTAAAGATATTAAAAGCAGAAAGTAAAATCCTTTGATGATTATTGATTCCAGTCACATCGTAATCATTGCCTGAAATTTAGTCTGGAAAAAAATATAAATCATAAACATTGTTTTTCTGATTATGTTAAGGTTGTAGGAATTTATTTGGTAAACCAAATGTGAAAATAAAATAGGCATAAAGAACAAAAAAAAAAAGCCTTTAATAACAGATTTTGTTTAGAAATACTTAAAAAAATTAAACTTCTTGTGTAACTTTGTGATGTGGAACAGTTAACATTTCTGAACAGATTTCAGCTTTTTTACTTCAGCTGGCATTTTAAAGAACCAGCAGGTGCTTCTTAGAAAAAAAACTTCAGGATTTAACCTGTTAATTTGGGGGGACTTGAGTGAGGAAAGTGTGCTGACCCTAATTTGGACACATGAATCTGTTATTTTTGTTTTCAGAGAAACATAAAACCTAAAATATTGATGAATACATTGTCTTTACTGAATGTTTTAAATGTGATCCCAGTGGGCTGTGATCATAGTGAATAATATATTTTTAAGGATTCAGATTTTTGCACAAGGTAGGTTAATTATTTTTCTTAAAGAGATTTCTTGTTTTTAAAAGTGTCTTGGATTGTTCTGCTCTGATGTTGAGCTTGGAAGAAAACAAAAAACAAAAACGGATAAGGAAAACCAGGGAAACTCTGAAAGGAGGACCAGCCCTGCCATTCCTACAAACAACTCAAACACAGGAATTCCTGGGGGATACAGGCCACTTAGCTGCACGATTAATGCATGGAACATGCCAGGATGTCTGGCTGCATGACCGATCGGAGCAACATAAACAGTCTGAACTGACCCGTGCAGAGCACACATGAACTGTGTTGCTGGATAAAATGAATGATAATTGCATTTAACCTAGAATCTTAGTAGGGCTAACATGCTTCCCAGACATTATATCTGAAGCCCAGCCAGCTTTTCACACTCCATAAATAAATGAGCTGTTTTTAATATTGCATACTGTGCAATTTGACAAAAACACAATGCAGTCAAGTGGAAACGCAAGACGCTGGTTGTGCGTGTGGGATTTTCTAGGGATTACATTGGTTCTAAATTTGGACATAAAAATAAAGAATAAAAAATGGATGTTGCTGTAAATTACCATGACGGAAAGCAGATTTGGGGCTCGGATTATCCACCAGATACTCATGTCCGTATTCTGCTCCCAGCATCTGTGTATAGAAATGCATTGAAAAGAATATCAGCAAAACATTTCTTGACATTTGTCATGTTTTCAAACACTTGATTTTTAATTTACAATGTTTTTTTTTTCTTAGATTTGCAACACTTTTTTGTGCTAACTGATGATTTTTGGTATTTAGAAAATGTGATTTTTAGATTCTCATCCCTCCTTTTACCACTAAATGTCATGCGAGAGGGTGTTAACTGTTAACTTAAATTATTTCTGACATTTTAATATCTTAACTCCCGACCATGAGATAATTCAACATAACCTCAGAGCAATAACTAGCTACTGTGGATTTAAAATCAAACATTTAGAGTCCATCAGAAACGCCTTGTGAAAATACTTTGTTAATGAGCTTACATAAAGGAAAAAAAATGTTTTTGTCACTTAAAAATGAACAAAGGAACTTACTCATTATTTTCATATAAATATTTTGAGATTCCCCATGGGATGAGGAATAATAATGGTGTACCTGTGGAAAAAGTATGAAAAACTATTATTTTTTGCTTTAGCCTTTATTCCCGTTGATCATATGCTGACATGGTGACACACCTATGGATACCAAATGGGACAACTCACCCCAACCAATGCACAGGTACACTTTGAAATAGTTCCTTTCTGTGAAGACGCTAATGACCAGAAGGTTATGGAGGTAGATGCCTTCCACCACCAACCAGTAGCTGTTAGCCATGATGCTGTACTGCATCATCACCAAGGCCGTGCGACAGCTAACTGTCATCTGCAAGAGAAATTCATGAAAGAGAAATTTATAATACTACAGATGCATTTCCAGCTAAACATGGTCGGATCATTGCTTCTGCTGATGGCATCTCCTTCTGACTGTGGGATTTAGGATCAATAGTTAGCTGCTGTTACCCTTTGATATTTATAATAAAGTTGCACATCTGTGAATCCCTCCATTGGAGAATCAATGCAGCTCATTGGATGCTTGACATTAGTAATGTTTAGGTTACCTAAAAAGCTAAAGCTAATTAGTCACCATCCTCATAGAGGTTATTTAACTGAAAAGCATTTATTAAGGTGCCAGACAGAACCTCAGAATTAAGCTTCTGTACTCAAAGAAAATCCCTAACCGATTCACCAGGACCTGACCAGTCTTTAATGCAATAAGTATTTGTTTTGCATTTGTGGATATCTAAGTTAATCTAATTTTGAAGTGTTAAAATATTGCTCGGCCATATGTCATCCACTTTTGCCTTATAAGGCCCGGGGTCAGAAATGTAATACCAGGACTTCTTGATATTTTTTTAGGGTCGGCCTTTAGTTTCAAGGTAATGTTTTGTAATTATGTAATTAATAACTGAGAATAAGCTTATTACAAACAGAAACCCAACTCTGTTCGTCATGTAACACAGACTCAACAGGAGGGTTTAAGCAGTTAAACCATGCTTGTGTTTTGTATTCATTGTGGTGCATGAATGCAGACCTATCACTGCTACTTCAACAATTTTAGGCCTGAAGGTATTTCTACAAATTATTTCATGAGGGACCTTTTATACAGGACAAACAAAATGATTCAAATTATTCTATTTTATGGCCTAAAATCTTTAAATTAAATTTTTATGTAATATAATTCTTTTCATTTTGTGATCCTGTGTGGGATAGGACTCCAGTACTGTCTGGCTGCCAGGGTTCCCGACCATCCTTCATCTGTCCCCAACCTCTAGGCAGACAGAGCTACCAAACTGAATGACCCTTTCAGCAGAACGTATGACTGAGGTGGCAGAACCATAAAGCACGAAAACCAATGGTTCTAATAAAGGAAAACGATTCATCTGGTCTACCAGTACCTAAAATTTTCTGTTTCCTATAATTAAAGCTGTGGCCCAGTTTGATGTACTTTTCGGAAAAATTCAGAAACTTTGAGCTCTTTTATTTTTTGTTCTCCCATTTTCTATTCTAAAATATATTCTCAGTGTACAAATATTTAATAAAATTCTGAGTTAGACCCTAAAAGAAAATATATTTTGACACCTGAAACCTATGCTTGATAACTTAATGTTTTAATCATGTTAATGTAATTAGAAAAGAAACCTGTTCTATTCTACCTCTATGGGAAACAGTTTAAGGGTTAAAGATACCTATATCTTTACAAAATCCTGCATCTTATTCATGCATAAAATGCAAATAATGAATAAAAAAAAACCGAGTTTATACAGGAAGTGTCATCTCTTCAAATGATGAGTCTGTCTTAAGTGATCTAATCAATTATGAACTCTTGTTTTTGTTTTGTTTCAACTCAATATGCAGAGTATTTACTCCTACTATTTGAAATTCCTTTTATTTGTTCTTCATTTACATTTATTTCTGTCCAGATACAATTTTGATCCTGATTGTATTGTGTATTCTTAATTCTATTTGTAAATCAAATTTTCTTCTTTATTATGAAAGTGTTTATGTCTTGTGTGCACAATAGTCCATTTACTTCCTATTGTATTATCTATCCCGAATTCTGAATTGGGCAAATTGTAGAGTATAGTACTCTGCGTTTTACAGGGTGTGTTGCAAATGATTTCAGTTTGTAAGTAGTTTAGATATCTAATAAATGTAAAGCAAGTTGTATTGTGTCATGGACGACAGCAGTTTGAGATCTTGACAATTAGAAAACCTTTCTTATAAGATAATTATCCTCCATAAATAATTGAGAATATTCTTATGAACCAAGAACTCATTGTGGAGTGTTAAGTTTTTCCTTTCAACAGACTTACCAGCAACTCCACTGGGGGTACAGATTCACTGACAAAGCCCTGCTCCTCTTCTCCACTGATCTTATCCAATGTTAGGTTAGCCTCCAGCAGAGCGTCTTTGATAAGGACAGATAGGGCTCGTAGGATGAAGGAAGCAAATAAATTCATGTGAATGTTGTTCCTCATGCAGTGCAGTTTTCTGACAAAAATAAAATAAAATACAAGAAAAGTCTTAATAGGAAATCATTACATGGCTTTTATTTTTTATTTCATTTACAGTGGTTTAAATTCAAATGGTTTGTAGCAGCATGGTTCAATAAACTACAATCTGCATTTTTTTTTTCTTTGCTCAAGTTTGTACAAAAAAAAANTCTCTTTAAAACATCATCTGCATTTTTTTTTCTTTGCTCAAGTTTGTACAAAAAAAAAATTCATAAAAAGTAAATAGTACCTGAAAAATATAAGGATACCAAGAGCCAGTACCAACGCCACCAAAGACATGGAATAGCCCACTGTGTACATGATCCGGATATATCCATAGTAAGGCTGCAAGATAATGTATAAAAAACACATACATTTGATTTGTAATTTGTTATAGATTTATTAACGAGTTTGATTTAAATAGCAGGAATGGCAATGTAACATTACTGTAGATGCACTAGATTCAACGACTTAATGACTTCTAATGCTATTGTTATCTCATATTGCCCTAATAATTTTTTAACTATTATTAATTAGTCTTGTCAGGAGTCAGCAGCAATACTGTTCTGCATAGGTTTGTTATTTTAGCTGCTGATGACAGCTCCCCCTTCACAACACATTAAGAGAATACTACCATCTCCAACTTCACTGGTTTCAATATGTGGCTGTATTTACTCTATGCACACGCCTCACAAAGAGCTTCGAAAAGGAATGCACAGAATAATTACCTGCACACCTTCCACTACTCAATGTAGAATGCAATTACAGTGTTTTTCTTTTATGAATCGAGCTGCAACAATTTGAAATAGGTCAAGAAGTATGCCACTTAATCTAGAGCTTCATTGTAAAATGAAATAAAAGAACCTGTCTTCAAAAGAGCAGAAAATAGATCCTATGCACAACTTTGAGGTGGGTGCACCTCTCAGCTGGGTTGGTTGGTTAGTTGCCTTTATTTTCTGAGACTCTTTAGTGTGCAACCGAAGCAGTAACATGATTCTATACGCACATCAGCCATGCTACCCAGAATTTTGCAACAGATGTCCTAATTTTTGGTTCTTGTTAGTTTTATTGTGTATAAAGTGTATAAAACCCATTCCCTGATGTACAAAAGGACCCTCCTTTTACTTAGCAATTATAATGACGAAACTACTAAAAATGAATGTTTTTTAATACCCTATTCTTATAAGAATATTCAGTATGTCAGGTAAATATTTATTTTGTTATAAAATAAATAAAATAATTATGTTAAAATATTATTCTTACCCGGTTTGTTTCATGAATATCACATTCGCTGGTATTTTTCTTAGTTACCCACTGGCCATTGGCATCACACTCACGATAAACCATCCCGTGTTGAACTATTCAAACACACACAAACACAGACTTTTAAACAGAAGGCATAGACAGCTGTCTGTTTCTGCTGGATTCTCTGTGACTATGCTGCTATATGGTTTTCTAAAAACTCACAGGTCTCTAACCTTTATTGTACCACGGCAAATACCACGGACACGCCACACTGACGATGGTGTTGGGGAATCCATCAGGCCAACAGGTATAGTTGTCAAATGTCCTGTTGCACACAAGACCTAAGGATAAAAACAATAAAAGAAAGCCGGGAAAAAAGCATCAGTGTAGCCCTAATAGCTTGTCTTTGACTCTTCAAGTTTCACAACAGTCTTTGAAGGGATGTTTGCTGGAAGTCATTATGTTATCTCATTATGGTATCTTGAACATTATGGTCTTTCATCTCAAAATCACTCCTCCCATGTTTCATTATGTCTCTCATCAGAGGATATCAGTCCTGATTGTCAGAGTATCGACAGCTGGGACCTGTGAGAACAAAGTGATGTATTCTAGGTCCTCTATAGCAGTTTAGCTGCTCTCACACTAATGGAACAGCAGGGACGCTATATAAGAGTTGAAACGTTGGAGAACTGAGAGCTTCACTTCATATAGATAGCAAAAAGTGGGGGAAGCTGCTTGTTTTAAAAGTTAAAACAGAACTTGCAGACAGAAGGTAATGCAGCTGAAGAGCTAAATTCACTATATAACAAGTGGAAAATCTCCTGCTACTTCAGATTGTCTTTAGGGGATGCAAATGCAAACTGTTTCCCCATGTGTTCGCTTATTATGTCTAAACCATCTCATCTGCACTTAAGATTTTTAGCCTTTTCTACAGCTTTTATATGAAATTATCTTGCGGAAAAACTTAATGTGTAAGAAGTATTATTGTTGTCCTGGTTGCAAGGCCTGTAAATCTTATCCCTATGCAGTTTGAAAAGTGCAAACATTTTTATGTATTTTTTGTTGTTTTGCTGATTTTCATAGAAGGAGAGAACCACTTCGGAAAACAAGTTTGCTCAATGTGACCCTTTTCGACTCAAAACCCCCCCCCAAAAAGTAAACAATGATAAAACTGACATGATGCGCCAACATAAAGGGGAAATGTGTGTTTGGATGCAGTTCAGGCAGGTTTAGGGACTTCTCGTTTTTGATTCTTCATTATATTATATTTAACTACCATCAGTAGGACTCAGTGCAGGCATAGTTAAAGGGAAGATTCAAAGTAAAAAAAAAAAACAACTAAAAAAATACATTTATTGTAACCTTACCACTGCTGGAGGGATATTGACTGTTGTTATGTTCACATTCTGTCTTATACTGGTTCCAGTCATCCTTCAGCTTATCCAAGGTAACAGCAGGAGACATCTAGGGGGACACACAGGAGAAAATTCAATAAAATGTGCAGTAACATCCTGAGGATTCAGTTACTGTGGATGTGGTGATCAGAGTACAGTAGGTAAACAACTGAATATGTTAAAAAACATGAGCTTCACACAAACATTTTTAAAATAACATATGATATTTGACTATAAAAACTATTTGGGTAAAATATATAAACTATCTCTTAATGTAATTGGGTATCCTGCCAGAGTAAAAAAGAGTGTCTTTGAAAATCAATCTTTGCTTGCTTGTTCCTCACAATATAATTTCTGGGAAATTAAGGGCAATGTCCCTGTAAAAAAATAAAAATCGTTGAAGTTGTGAGACAATTTTATGCATTTTGGCAACATTTGATTACAGATTTAAACCAGAAATCTATGTATGTGGCTGATCAATAATTAGCATGTGGGTCTATAGTAACAAAAATACATTTTGGCCCAAAGTGATTAAATAAGGACCAATCAAACAGGCAAATCAAATGAGGGACACCAGGGTTGTATTTCCAATACCCTTAGAGGTGTCTCTTCATTTTTGCTATGATGTCCTGTTGTTGTTGTTGTTGTCTCCTTATTTTTTTAGCATACCTTATTAGTGTTTCAGTGTAAAATAATATGTGAAAAGTCATATTCAACCCATTGTAAATCATGGTGGATGATCTGTGATACTATAGTTCTATTTTGCCTTTAAAGATTTTTTAGATGGCTTGCATTATAGACTTTAAATAATGACAAAATAATGTAATAATATGTATTCTGACCAGACGCGATTGTTAGAGTTAAGATTACATTTTGAGGCAGATGTAAAGCACACTTCTCCTCTAACCAATAGCTCTGTATTGAATCCTTCATTTTATTGATTTAATATAATATTTGAATACTATTGGCTTTAAAATAATCATTAATAACAGAAATAAAGGCTAGAAAATGCTAGAAACAGTATTTTTTAATAGAGCACCTTTAAGATTGCATGTTGGAAATTGTTCATACCCATTGCAATCTCTGAGGAAATGTGAGAAATCATGTTTTACACCTGTCAAAGTTATTCACAGCTTATTGTTAACAATTTATGAATGGTTAAAAACATAATGTCTTCATATTTTCACTTCTCAATTGCCACACTGTAACATATTATTCCAAATTTATAATCAACAAGCTTACAAAAAGTGTAAATAAATTCACTGATTCCTTACTTAGACTTTCTGAACCTTTCTTTAAACTATCAAAAGGTTGCCTATGTAGTTTACATTTGCCTGTTAACGTTAAAGATGTAATGAAACCCACCTGGATGCTGCAGGAGACAATGAGGACTGCCAGAAAGAGGAACAGACCTGACATCCCTTATTCCTGCTGGTGGTGCTGGGAGGGGATACTGCAGGATGGGGAGGGCTTTTCACCTCATAAGGGGCTTATCTACACTCACCACACAGCCTAAGTGACACAGAGACACACAATCCATCAAAGCTCATAGGAAACACATTAACTTGGCTTGCATTACCCCGACGTAATAAGAAGACCAAAACAGGAAAATGCTGGGTCATATTTACATCAGATTTAGAATGAAGGGAAATAAAGGAACAGAAGTTAAATAAAAGATTAAATTCAATGCTCTAATTTTATCCAAACAGGCTAATTCAAAAAAGGAAGGGTAGTCTGATTCATATTTAATCTTTGATTTAAAAAGCAAAGCCTCAACTAAGAATAAAGCAGCCAGCTTTTCAGGACATCATGTACAGGGTCAAAAGTCTCCAGGAGCTGCTGTTTTTTCCATCAGAGACACAGTCACAGCAGAGAGGAGCTGCACTCAGTCAGTGACTCCCAGTCGGCTGTACTCTTACGTTAAAACCAATCAGTGTTTGGTTGAGCATGTCACAGTGTGTGCCAGAGGTCACTCACCTAGGCATCGATCACCTCCAGCTCCCGACGGACTCTAGCGAAGCTGGAGAACAGAACGAAATCTGAAACGTTTCTGCAAAAAACACCTTGACCATGGAAACATTTTTGGCTAAAACGTTTCAAATTCCATTCTGTTCTGGTTCTGGTTCATAAGAGGGCAGGTCATGCTGATGTATTCTTTTTTTTTTTTTTTACTGGTAGATATTTATGCAACAGATAAGAGCTGTGTGTCATAAAAGACAGACAAGTTGTGATGTATGGAGTCCAGAAAGAACTGCATGCCTGCTTTCTAACCTGTCAACAGCAACAGCAGCTGGACGGTTCAAGCCGCATTTAAAATATCTCCACAGGAAGTTACATTTGATTAAATCTAAACTAAAGAGTCCTATTTGGTAAATGAGCCGTGCAGTGTAACAACCACTAGATGCATATGCGGTAGCACAACAACAGGAATGATTGTAGTATTTTCCCCTAGTGGCGGGGCCACTCTTGTCTGGCCTGAAATCAGGTCAAGACTGGTACCACTGATATAAAAACAAAGACTCATACATTTCACACCATCAGATATTTAAGTGGTCACAAACTTTAACCCTAACCTTACTATTCCAGGTCAAGGCATGTGCTGATATCATCAAAAAATTTACTGCTAGTCAATTCTAAATGGCTGCATCTGAAATAAAACTAAGCTGTGAAAAATGCAGATGAAATTCTGCAACAGCGATCGGCAAAATATAATATGTGTTTCATCATGCGTCCCGCTATAGAGAAGACATACATCAGAGCTCTACTTCTTTGAATAACAGTCCTGCCACCGATGAGGCTTTTAGTGGGGTTCCCTCCTTCTTAAACACAAACATGCTTAAACACACTCAGTATCTCTCCTTCAGTCAGTAACACAATCTGAGGCAAATTTCCCTCAGTTGCCTGCTTTGCACCGACTTTTGGAACTTAGCACAGGAGACAAACAATGATTAACCAAAGTGGTCAATGCAGGAGATGTTAAAAATAAGGGAAATAGAGAGCTGGGGGTTTGTAAAACCGTGCCTTCCAACGGGGAGAAAAACATGATGCCTCAATAGGGTCTATGAACACGTTCTATATTACAGTAATAAGCAGCTTCTTTTACATGATGCTGGTGAAGATTCTCAGTCATCCAGGTCATAGTCATTCAAAAAAGTTAAAAAACAATGTACTGGACTTTGTTTCCAAGTTTGAAGACGTTTTGCTTCCCATCCAGGAAGCTTTTTCAATTCAAAATGTCAGAAGCCTTGAACTCAACGCAATTTCTGACATTTTGAATTAAAAAAGATTCCTGGGTGGGAAGCAAAACATCTTCAAACTTGGAAACAAAGTCCAGTGGATTGTTTTTTTGTTTTTTTTTTACTTTTTTTTAATTGACCACTGATAACCAGGATTCATATTTTTCAAACATAAAGTAGCTTTCATCTGAAAAACTGTTATAAGCATGATTGGTTTTACTACACAAATATGCAACTTTTCTAGTTCAATATAATTTATGTCTGCCTCAATAGCTAGGTCCAGTTACCTCTATTCAGATATATCAAGGTTTTTTTTATGTTTCAAAAACTACATTAAATCTTCTCTCATGTGTTTCCTCAGTTTAATGTTCTTTTTGTAAGGTGCCAGGAAACATGCTGCGGTGACTGGAGTTTAATATTGATGGCAGCATAAATATAAATAGGCAGCACTACCCCTCCCAAACTTGTTTCTGATAAGCTGAATAAAGTCACGCTACAGCTGGAAGCTATAAGAGGAAAACTTTTATCTGACTGCTGGGTTGCTTCCAAACCAATATGACTAATAAACCTTCTAATATTAACATATATTTCATATTTATATTTCATAAATATCAAAGCTGTAATATATATAAATTATATGATTTTAATGGAAAATAACTGACTGATGATTTTCGTTTGACAGTAGTTTATTATTTTCACTAGTATAGAATCTGCTGATAAAAAAATGCTTCTTAATCAAATCTAAGATAATTTTACACTAGGAGAATGTGCACAACTGATGGCCAAACAGCACCGCCTGTAATGCTAAATATAGCAAGGTTTGCAGACAAATCCCAAACATTTCCGAGATTGGACATGTTAGGGTGTCCTCTCTGCAGGATAATTAGGACCAGATGGCCCATTTACTGAGAGCTGAGGTAGGACTAATGAGCATTAAGGTGTGAGGCTAATTAGGCTTGTAAATCTGGCTGGTATAATAGAAACTCATAGAGTTATGGCCCCTCAGTCAGCTTACAAACATATTTCTAGGTCCGTCAGGACACATGCTGTTTAGCATTACTAACTCCGGGTAACAGGAAATATCCCCAAGCCTTTTCTGCTACTTCTGCACATCTTGATTCCAGGTTGGAGGACAGCTAAGAGGGCCATCCAGGCAGAGGCCAGACTGACCTCTTAGAGTTGTTTGGGTGTCTTTCCTGAGGCTATTCAATCTAAAAACATCTTAGAAAACCATCATATCTCTTGCTTCAGTCTGTTCAACAACAACAATAAACAGCTTGTTTAAGTGATGCTTGTGTGCACATTTATCTATAAAGCAGGGGGAATAATCCATAATGACGTAAATGCTCCAAATCTCCCAAAAAAATGACACAAAAAAAACAATTTTTTTTTAATGCTTTGCTCAAGTGCATGCTGAATGGCTTAATACAATGGCCACTAACAATTACTGTTGTTTGCTGAAGAGTGCTTGCCTTTCATTTGATTGTGCTGTCCAGTAAATAACATTACAAAAGAAGAGCATGCATAGTTGAATGTGGTGCAGAGGGGAGAAGAGAGGACTAAAAACAAACCTCTTTGAAAAGACAACATGCACCCACCCATGACATGTGCTCCTGATCTGCAGTTTGTCATCCGGTCTTCCAAACAAGGAAGAAGACTTAATGCAAGTCTTTTGTTGCAGATTATTTTAAGTTATTGTAAAATAAAAAAAACAAAAAACAAAAAAAAACAAATAAAGTTGATCCTGAAAGCAAAAAAGCAGCACAACTCATATCAAGTAAATAGCCAAGGGGAAGACCCCTAGGCTTTATTCATGGCGCTGCAGATGGTTAAAGGTGGTAAAGAGGGTGAAGCAGAGTTCAGATTTCAGAATGGACGAGGCATCACACTGAAACATGCTATTACAAAACTGGGAGGCTTTAAATGTTTTGGCTGTTTGACATTTCACATTAAATCAGACGTGTTTGTGTGTGTAGCACCAGTGCACAACAAAAACTGTCTTAACAGCGTTTCGGCTGGGTGTAGATTCTTTTAAAGCATAATTTTATGTTTATTTAATGGATGGAAAAATTGTAAATTTCTCTCCCGAGCAGGTTTTGCTGATGCCAGCTTTACATTTTTTAGCCAAACCCAAACAAAAATTGCCTAATGGATAAAATGAATGGTGCGTTAAGGAAATCAGTTCAACAACACAAACTCCGACTAGGTTAGTCAGGCCAGCAGCATCAGATCAGACAATAAACTGGCTAATTTGGTGCAGCTTTTGCCCAGGCAAACCTGAGGAGGATCACACAGGCATTGATTATAAAGAGATACATTCACACTGCTAAAACGATCTAGAAATTAGTAAAAATTTCTTAAATTCAGTGTATAAGACCTTAATTTGAGTAGGTAAATAAGATGATTTACCAATGGAGTGAGCATTTTTACTCTTAAATTAAGACAATTAGATAATATGCATTGGAAAATAGCCAATGCAATTATTTTTATATTCAAAATAAAATATATTTTAAATAATATTTAATAATTATATTAATATATATTTTAAATAATATTTTATAGTCTCACTTAGCTGCTCAATTCATGAAAAAATTACTTCTTTAGATTTCAATTATTTGCAGTGTATATTCTCTGAACTGTCCGCCTTTATTGATGTGGAAATGTGGGGGCTTGCATATATTTTTTAAGAAAAAAACAATAACAAAAAACAATACTGCCAACTTTATACTGAGTAGAAGACATGGTGCCAAATAGACTGTCAAAGTCTTTCTGGGAGGAACTTTAGATACGACATCTCCAGAAGGTCATTCATGCCAAAGTTACAGTTTAGATCACTGTGAGTCAACAAATTTATCTTGACAAGCAGCTTTCTTGCCCTACTTCACTGAACCACGTATCATCAAATATTCATTTAACTAGAGCACAAAAGTAAAATACATTGCAGCTGAGCACAAATGTATAGGTCTCTGGGTAACCTGTCCCACTTAAATGTATGAAAATAAATCAGTAAAATTGTATTAATTAACTACTGACCAGTCACTAGGAGGCAGACAGGGAGTTTGGCTAGTGTTCAAATGATCAAAGCTTGCCTCCACAGTTGGGGGGAAAGACTTTTCCCATGTCATTTATGTGAATAAAAACTTTTCCCTAAACTTCACAATATTTGTGCATAAAAGAAGTTCTGTGGGATAAAGAATACGGGAAAAAAGACAATTTCCCTCATGGCAATGCGAAGACCCATGAAATAAATTACTTATTAAGGATATGTCTGAATAAAACATCCATCCATCCCTCCATTATCATAACCACTTATTCCCTAATGGGGTAGGGCTGGGGGACTGGAGCCTATCTCAGTAGTCAGTGGGCAACCCTGCAGAGTCACAAAGAGAAACGCAAACAAGAACAAACACTCATACTAACTCCTAAGGGCAATTTGGAATGTCCAGTCAACCATATATGGAGGTTTTTGGACTGTTGGAGGAAGCTGGAGAACCCAGAGAAAACCCATGCAGACACAGGGAGAACATGCAAACTCCACATAGAGAGGCCTTGGTTCCCCCAGGACTTGAACCCAGAACCCCATCGCAAACCACCACCTCACTGTGCCGCCCATCTGTAGAAAGCAATTTTTAAAAAACACATTTCAATCTGGAAAAAAAAACAAACCAAAACTATCCGATCAATAACCTAAAGTAGAGAATTTAATCTATCTTCATTTTTATGAATTTCTCCAATCAATCTAATGAATATTGAAGCTTAATAAATATTGAAGCTGCTGTTGTTT